CACCACCACCACCACCACCACCACCACCACCACCACCACCACCACCACCATCATCATCATCATCATCATCATCATCATCATCATCATCATCATTTTGTTTGGGAGGGATATGTGGGGGAAAAATACTTGCATGCCATTAGTACATATGTGGAGAACAGAGGACAATTCTGTGGAGTTGGCTCTCTCTTTCTACCTTCATGTGGGTAACAGGGATTCAGTGCAGATTGCCAGGTTCCCACAGCAAGAACCTCTATTCACTAAGCCTCCTTAATAGCCCAGTCACCTTCGTGTTTGCCTGTGAATTTGTCTGTGCATCACTTATATGCATCACTTATATGTCCTGGAGGACAGCAGAGGGTAATGAATTCCCTGGAACTCATTGTGTGTGCTGAAAACCTGTGTGTTGCAGGTCCTCTGCAAAAGCCATGAACATTCTTAACCACTGAGCCATCCTGCTCCCCCTTCTCCATTTTCTTTACACTCAGAGCATCAGTTACACATCAAACCTTAAACTAGAACTAAACTGCCTTTCAAATTAACTGATATTTACAAGATTTTGCCTTTATCAATTTGGGAACTGTTACAATTCTCTTAACCACATGATCATCCTTATTCAATGAAGTAATTGAATTTCCATTAGTTTTTATACTTCTCAGAGGGAAAAGTCATTGTTATATTTAATGGAAAGCTGAGAAATGAAACTATTTAACTCTATTTTGTACTTTCCAACTATAGGTTAAAACTGCCCTTTTTTCATTATTATTATTATCATTATCATCATTTATCATAATTTATTCAATTTGTATTCTTGCTATAGCCCCCTTCCTAGTCCCCTCCCAATCTCACCCTCCCTTCCTCTTCTCACCCTATGCCCCTCACCTAGTCCACTGATAGGGGAGGTCCTCTTCCCCTTCCTTCCACCATAGCCTATCAGGTCTCATCAGGACTGGCTGCACTGTCTTCCTCTGTGGCCTTGTAAGGCTGCACCCCCCAGGGGTAGGTGATCAAACAGCCAGCCACTGAGTTCATGTCAAAGACAGTTCCTGTACCTATTATTAGGGAACCTGATTGAAGAGTGAGTCTATGGGCTACATCTGAGCTGGGGTTGGGGTGTCATTCTCTTCAGGGCCACCAGGGCCTAGTTTGTTTGTTTTTATTCTGTTGGTCTCCCTGTTGAGCTGCTGTCCCCTCCAGGTCTTTCTACCTCCCCATTCTTTCATAAGATTCCCTGCACTTGGCCCAAACTTTGGCTATGAGTCTCAGCCTCTGCTTCGATAACTTGATCAGTAGAGTCTTTCTAAGGCCCTCTGTGGTAGGCTCCTGTCAGTTCCCTGTCTTCTCTTCTTCCGAGTGTCTATTGCATTTGCCTTTCTTAATTGGGTTCCTAATTTTTTACCATATTTTCTTTAAGAGCAAATACTGCTTTACTTCCATTATTTAGAAGTGAGACTTAAAATTTGACTTGGTACTTACTGGTATCAGAAACATTTTTATGCAGTTTTTAAAACACTTCTATAAACATCTCTTTGTTCTGTGTGCATGCATGTACCTGTGGGTGTAAACAAGTCACTGCTGCAATGTGCATATGCAGGTTCGAGGAGAACCTGTGGGAACTCTTCACTTCAGTGATCAGAATTGAATCCAGTCATCAAGCTTGGCAGCAAGGGTCTTACCTGCTTAGCCATTTGCCAGACCCCTTCACAATCTAAAGTTGAAACCCTCATACACTGAACATGCATACACACACATGCACACACACTTCTTTTCACACTTTCACTTTTTATGGGTTAAATTATTCACCGTTAACCTGGTCTGAAATATTAAATGGTAAAGTCTAGAAATAATTCTTAAATTTTAAGCTAGGCACCTCTTTGAGTATTGTGTTGTCCTACTGCATAGGACGTGAATCATTATGCCATCCTAAATACATATCTGTTTGCCCATTAGTCACTAGTAAGTGTCAGTCTTGCTCACTGACTAGATAGCCAGTGCTGTGGTGCCTTTGGTCAAGCAGCTCACAAACTGCTCTGGAGCACAATGCCTATTACCACAAGAAGGAGGGTGAAGACATCAGGAAGACATTTTGAAAGACAGAAACCATATACACATAACTTTAATGACAGGAACATTCATTGTTCATTTTAGTTACTTTTGATAATCTTACCGTGCCTCACTTCTAATGAAATATTATCACAGGGGTGTATGTGGACAAACCCACAATACACAGAGGGTCTGCGACAGGTTCAGGTATCAACTAGGCTCAAGCATCCCTGCGACAGTTTTACAATTTTCATTCCATATTTCAAGTATTAATTCCACTGTAATGTTAATACAGCTGACATCTTCAAACTCCAAATGTTTTATCCTATAAAACAAATTCATGACTGACCCTACAATCCTAATCAAAAGAGACAACATCTATTAGTAGTAAGTACAGTTCTCCATTCATACTAATCTATTAACCAAGGTTTTAGAACACTGTGACGGTACATGTGCCTCAAATCAAGAACAAATTACCAAAGAAAAAGCAAAAACAAAAAAAAGAAAAAAGAAAAAAGAAAAAGAAAGGAAGAAAGAAAAAGCAAGTAAGCTAGATGCTACAGTACATGTCTGTAAACCCAGTGCTAGTCTGTGTGTGGTTTGTGTGTGATATGGTGGTGGTGATGGAGACAGGTGTATCCCTTGACTCACCTGCTTTGAATTTTAACATAGTGTTTCAGCAGGCTAGCCATGAGCTTAAGAGGCTCCTCTTGCCTCAGCCTCCCACATCCTAGAATTGTAGGCATCACCCCAACACTAATTTATCAGTACAATTAAAGAGTTTTAATACAAATTATTGTATAGTTACTTTTATATGAAAAATAAGTTGTTTTTTCTTTTTAAATCTGAGGCACAAATATTGGAAAGTACTTTATTGGAAAGCACTTTAAAAAATTAAGCCTCCAAGTAGGGTCTGTAGTTAGGGGAGCAGGGACTTTCTCTGGCCTGAACTCAGTGACAGGCTCTCTGATCACCATCTCCTGGGCCAGAATGCAGCCCTGCCAGGCCACAGAGGAGGACAATGCAGCCAGTCCTGATGAGCCCTGATAGGCTAGGGTCAGATGGAAAGGGAGGAGGACCTTCCCTATTAGTGGACTAGGGGAAGGGCATAGAGGGAGAAGAAGGAGGGAGGGTGGGATTGAGAGGAAATGAGGGAGGGGGCCGCAGCTGGGATACAAATTGAATAAATTGTAATAAATGATAAAAATAAAATAAAAAAAATGTACTGCCTGGAAAAAAAAATTTTAACCCTCTTTTTCCTCCCTTCCATGCAGCACAGCCTCTTCTGTCACAGGGATGTGAATCCTAGTTTTACGTTTTTAATTTTTATTAAGAAACCTTAAATAATGATGATGCAAAAATAAATAAAAACAGTAATGATGAAGTGAGGCATAAAAATTTAATAAAAATAATTAAAAGTAATTATTTTATTGGTTTAAAATACCAATAAAAACTTCAAATAAGTTCTCATATGCCTGACATCTAATTCTTCAATATAAATGAAGTAAATAATAATATAAATTATATTATGAGATTTACTGTGGAATAACATAGGATGTAGTAAAACTTAAGAAAAAATTGAATAGTATAATAAAACTGGTCTCTATCTTTACATAAGGTTGGGCATTTAACTACTAGCAATTTAATGTAAATCTCTGAAAGAATAACATGAAAAGAAATTAATTTTAAGACTAGTAAGGTTTTTACAGGTTTATAAAAATTGGATTTTTTTCTCCAGAAAAAAAAAACTGTCATGAAAATGTTTTAATATTCTTACATAAATATTTCTTTATTTGCTTTAGTAATAAATTGGGTTGGGCATACTGTTTAAATAGCTATTATGAGATACATCTAAAAAATGACTTTAGTCTCTTAGATATAAAGTATTTTAGTTAGTATATAAAATGAAAAAGACAGCAATGATCTTACAAAGAACAAAATGTCAAGACATAAATGACTTACTTATAAAAGAAGAACGGAGTTTTTTCACAGATTCAGAATACAAGCTAGAAAGGCCGCACATGCAAGGAGTCCCAAGCAGCATACCTTAGTGAGCAATGAGGTGGGAGGGAAAAAAAGGAGACACACACTAGAATGGCATGGTTGAAACAGAATTTCTGCTGAAGATATACATGACAAAATGATCTGACTCACAGACAAAAAAAAGCAAAACAAACGGAGAAAAGAAAATTTTAACCACTAAGCAAAAAGATAGAAGGGCCAATATTACCTTTTTTGTTTGTTTGTTTATTTTCTCATGTATTACAAACTTGGTAGTTATCATTAGCCAATAATGTACTGACTACCCTGAATGAAAGAGAACTTTAATTCTGTGGACTGAAGAGAATGTTTAGACCAGTTCCCTAAATAGTGTTCCAGTGTTCACCAGTATTCCGCAGAAGAGTTAAACAGGCCCTCAATTGTTTCCCCTCAATCCTTGGTCTAGGTGGAAAGGCCCACAGGAAAATTAAGCCCATATTTCAATTATTCAGTTATTGCTAGAGGTCTCATTAGTATTCTATATGTCATATATACAAAATTATTTGCTGTATATCATAAAGTAAAAAACAGGCAAGAGGTATAGGATACTTAGCTAAAAATATGTGTCCTATATTTTAAGAGATATCAACATTAAAACATTTATTATTAATGCTAGATACTTATCAAACACTAAAGATGTGAGAAAGACTTTGTGCTGAATCAAGGCTATGTGTGGAATGTCCTGAGTCAGGTATGCAATCACCTCTGTGCCCACACTTTCACACAGGAATGAATACTTGATTAAAATGGTTAAAACTCAATTATTGCCTTACAGGGACCAGACTATAGAACTTTAAGATCTATTTGTATTCTATAACAACTGGACATATATTACTAGTATTATGCCTTAGTTCAAGAAGTGTGACACTGGCTCTCTCCTGACATTAAATAAAACTTTAGGTTACTAAGAACCAAGGAAGACATAACGGGACCACAAAGCAGAAATAAGATTCTTGCTGGTTTTGAGTTTACAGATCAGACGAGCTGTGAGCTGAACTGAACTGCTGCACCACAGGGCTGCATGCTTGTGTGTTCACAGCACATCAAGCTCAGGGGCTTTATTCCCTTTTTACCTCCGGAAGGCTGCCGAGATTTGCGAGGTGACCGGGGTTCTCTCCGATAAGGGTCGTTTGAGCCATATAACTCAATGGTGCCGAGGTTAAGCAGTACTGCTTTCTGGAGGTAGTCAACCATTGCAATGCCATTACAGTTGCCAAAAACCACCCTGGCAACGGGAAAAGCACAAGTATTTTAGTGCAAACATGTTATTAAAGGAAATGTAAATTACTAATTGGAAGAAAATAGGATGGTGGGTCTTTCAGAAATTTGTTTCCCGTTTATTAGAGTGTGAAGTTGTATGTGTGAAAGCTCACACGGAAGTTAGAGGATGATCCTAGGGAGTTGGTTCCTTTCACCTTCAGATCTGATGATTCACCTCAGCTGCCTGAAACTAAAGACAAATGTAGACATGGGAACAAGCCCATCTCAAGGAACTGTTCAAATTTCTATAGATATTATGTAGAACATTAAATCGAGTGTCAGTGCCATTTCTAAGAATATTTGACACAGAAACTGAAGTTTGATCAGAAATAAAACCCTCCCACTCTAAGCAATGTAATGTCTTCATTATGTTCCTGGAAAATGTAATTATAGATTGGAATAACTTCAGGTAATTCCTCTGTCAAAATAAAAAGGAAGTATAAGTCTTGGAAAACTCCATTTGAGGTGTTCAAAATGCTTTCTTCATTACAGTTTAGGAACTACAATATAATTTGTCATGAATAAAGGATTCTTATTCTGTTTGAGCGCTCTTGAGGCACACTGAAAGCTGGCATGTACAAAGGAGCTGCATTCATAGTCACAGGACAGATAAGACTTTGAAAAGGAGATAATGATCTCAAAGAAGAGAACTTCCATTCAGATCCAGGTGATACTACGCATGAATGTACAAAGGAAGCAGAAAATCAGATTTTTCAACTGAAGTTTTAAATATGGATCTATACATTAGGTAGTCTTGGCAACTAATTTAAAGCTTAAAAATCCAGAAAGTGCAAAAATTCCCACCAACAAACAAGCCCATGAACACAATAATTCCTGTAATTAATCAATTAATTTTTAACTACTTTTAAAACTTCATATTTTTTTTTTTAATCTGCTGTTTGCTTTTTTTTAATGGTAATGCTCAGTAAAGCATTTAGAAGGTGGAGGCTTGTACTCTTCCATTATAAGGCAGCCAATAAAAGATAAAAAGGCCTCTCAAGCTTACAATCAGTCTATGCTGGATGTGCAACTTCAAGAGACTGAAGACTGATAGTTGCTGGTGGGTGGGGCTGGTGACAAGTGGCCCCCTAAGGTTACAGGTGAGGACAAAGACAACAGTTGTGCAAGAAAAACACTTCTGTAACTAGACAGTACATAAGCAGTTTCTTCCTGTGATGCTCAGTTTTATGAGAACAATTACAGCTGCATATAGGTGGATACTCTGTTAAACTACTGCTATCCCCTTACAAATTTGTACAAGTTAACTTTGTACAATGATGCAGTTATCTATAGAATCCATTTATAGAATCTTATGCTAGCATTTAGGAGAAACATGTGAAAACTGTTGCTGCAGGAACACACTGACGAGGGTATTCTGACTTCAGCACTTCACCTCCAATTAGCATTTACCCAAACTTTATATCAGTGGTCACAGCACTACTCAAAGCAAAACTGTGTTCCCACCAAAAGCACCAAATATAGTCTGAAATTATAGTCACACAGCACCACTTTAGGTGATGATATAATAAAGCCAAAATATTTTATACTTAAATGAAAAAAATGTATAGGGAATACTACAAAGAGACCAGGGAAACAAAACAACAACCCCTCCTACTTACAGCCCGTAAGAAGAATTGAGCGCCAGGCTGGTGATCTGCTGAGGAGGCTCTCCACCCACCCACACCAGCTGAATAACCAGCTCTGTCTGGTAACCTGGAGACTGTTTAAGTGGTGAGTTCTTAACTCTGAAAAAAAGAAAAGAGAGAGAGAGAGAGAGAGAGAGAGAGAGAGAGACATTAGCTTTTAAGCATATTTCCAATGAATGGACTGCCCTACGCATATGAAATCATACAGTCATGCAAGAATGGTTTCATATAGGAAACCACAGTAGATTTCCTAAAATGTAAAAATCAGAACATTGTGTTCTAGAAGTATTTAACCTAGTAGCAGAGATGAATACATACCTACATGACAAAGGTAGGAAATTACTGGCAAATTATGGATAAAAAGTGGGGAGACTGTTAAGCATGAAGAATAAGAGAAAATGAGTGAGAAAAAGAAGAACAAAGAACAGGGAAAGAGGGCTAAAGAATGAACAAAAGCAACAATAAGAAATCAAAAAGAAAAAATTTAAAAATGCATGAAAACATAAAGCTTAAAATCATACAAAAACAAAACAAAACACTATGGAAGTAAAAACCAAGCAGGATCAACTGATCTATAGTGGGTAACGACTTTTAACACACAAAACAAAGCAAAGCATTTTTTCTGATTGTTGAGGTTCATTTGGTGGCTATATATGCCAGACACTGTAGACTAGGTGGGCCAGTTAGGAAATTCCTTTGGTTGTTCTGACATGAAATAATATTTTAAAAGTAAATTTTGAGTACATTATGAGGTAAGACCTGAGGTGGCTTATAAGGTCTGGGAAGGTATAATAAACCTTATCCATGCCCCACTCTCACTCCCAATGCACCCCTATGCCCTTCCCCTAGTCCACTGAACATGGGAGTCCTCCTCCCCTGCCACCTAACCCTAGCTTATCAAGTCTCATCAGGACTGCCTAGATTTTCTTCCTCTGTGGCCTGGCAAGGCAACCCTGCCAGGAGAAAGTGATTAAAGAGCAGGCAACTGAGTGCATGTCAAAGACAGCCCCTGCTTCCCTTACTCGGGAACCCACATGGAGATTGAGCTATCTATGGGGTACGTCTGAGCAGGGGGTCTAGGTCCTCTCCATGCATGGTCCTTGATTGGTGCATCAGTCTCTGCAGAGCCCCAGGCTCAGATTTGTTTGCTTTGCTGGTCTCTTTGTAGAGTTCCTGTCCCTTCTGTGTCCTTCTATCCCTGACCCCCTTCTTCCATAAGATTCCCCGTGCTCTGCCAAAAATGTTTGTCTGTCTTTGCATCTGCTTCCATCCCCTGATGGGTGTAGCCCTTCAGAGGACATTTACGGTAGGCTGCTGTCTTGTTCCCTCTCTTCTACTGCTTCTTATCCTCTCCATAGATACTAAAAAAGCATCTGATAAAATCTAACACCCGTTCATGTTTAAAGTTTTGGAGAGATCAGGGATACAAAGCACATACCTAAACATTACTATGGTAAAATACATAAGCCTATAGCCAACATCAAACTAAATGAAGAGAAAATTAATCAATTCCACTGAAATCAGGGACAAGACAAGGCTACCCACTCTCTCCGTATCTCTTCAACATAGTACTTGAAATTCTAGCTAGTGCAATAAAACAAGTAAGGATATTAGGGAGATACAAATAGGAAAGGAAGAAATCAAAATATCACTATTCACAGATGATATGACAGTATACATGAGTGACCCTAGGAGACTTCTACAGCTGATAAACACCTTCATCAAAGTGGCTGGATATAAAATTAACTAAAAACAACAACAACAACAACAACAAAAACACCAGTAGCCCTCCTGTATACAAAAGAGAAAAGGGCTGAGAAAGAAATTAGGGAAACAATACCCTTCACAATAGCCACAAGAAACATACAGTATCTTGATGTAACTCTAACCAAGCAAGTGAAAGAGTTGTATGAAAAAGACTTCAAGTCTCCAAAGAAAGAAAATGAAGAAAATATCAGAAGATAAAAAGCACTCCCATGCCCATGGACTGATAGGATTAACAGTAAAAGTGGCCATCCTACCGAAAGCAATCTACAGATTCAATGCAATTCCCATCAAAATACCAACACAATTCTTTACAGACCTTGAAAGAACAATTCTCAACTTCATATGGAAAAACAACAACAACAACAACAACAACAACAACAAAAACAGAATAGCTAAAACAATCCTGTACAATAAAAGATCATCTGGAGCTATCTCCATCCCTGATCGCAAGCTGTACTATAGAGCAACAGTAATAAAAACTACATGGTACTGGCACAGAAACAGACTGGTGTATCATGGAATCAAATCAAAGACCCAGGAATAAGCCCACACACCTATGGACACCTGATTTTTTGACAAAGATGCCAAAACCATACAATGGAAAAAAGATAGTCTCTTTCACAAATGGTCCTGGTCTAACTGAATGTCCACATGTAGAAAAAATACAAATAGACCCATATCTATCACCCTGTACAAAATTAAAGTCCAAGTGGATCAAAGACTTCAAAATAAAACCAGACACACTAAACCTGTTAGAAGAAAAAGTGGGGAAAAGCCTGGAACTCATTGGCACGGGAGACAACTTCCTGAACAGTTCACCAACAGCACAGGCTCTAAGATCAACAATTAATAAATGGTAGAGGTTTTTTTTGTCCAATTTTTCTATTGCTGTAACAAGAGCTGCTGAAAGAAGCTGAAGAGTTGCTTGTCTCACAGTTCTAGGAGACATAGTCCATCATGGCAGGATGACCTGGCTGTGGGAGTATAAGGCAAGTGTGTTCTACCAGATGGAGAGGAAGTAAGGAGAGATGAGTGTGGGTGCTCAGTGGCTTCCTACTTTCCTTTTCTTTGTTGGCCCTGTAACCTTAACACAGCACATTCAACCTCTTGGGAAATACCCTCACAGACATGCCCAGAGGCCTGTCTCTTGGGCAACTCCAAACCCAGTCAACTTAAGAATAAAGAGTAGCCATCTCACTACATATCACTACAAATCTGCTCCAAAGTCTATGGGAATATATATTAATTATCAATAATAGTAAATTATAGATATATATATATGTGTGTGTGTGTATATATATTTATATATATATATATATACATATATATATAAATGTATAAATGGTTGTATTTTACTGTTCATCAAGTACCAAGAAATTATACAGAATGATTTCAGGTTAGTCAAATTTAGAAGAGTAGTTTGGAAAAGGTTGACCATAGACTCATAGTAGCCATGCTGTCTGCACAAGAGAAAACAAAGATCAAACTAGTCAACATTTCAGCACAGATTTCAAGCTGTAGAGCTACTGACTGTTGATGGCTACTGGAGAAAGGAGAGCCAGTTTTCTTTAAGGGTGTTGCTCCTTTTAGGCTGACCATGATCCAGGAAAAAGAGCCAGACCCATGAGTAAAAGGACAGCATTAATTAGATTCAGTGGGAAAGAAAGGAAAGGAAAGGAAAGGAAAGGAAAGGAAAGGAAAGGAAAGGAAAGGAAAGGAAAGGAAAGGAAAAGGAAAGGAAAGGAAAGGAAAGGA